TAACTTCTTGCTATGTATTTGTTTTTCTTTTGTTAAACATAATTGAATTTTGAATTCAGTTTTTGTTTTCCAATTTATTTTTTGTTTAGTTTTTTTTTAACATAAAATTGGCGTTTGTATTTTTATTTTTAATGGGTTTTATTTGTTTTCTGTTGGTTGTCTTTTTTTATTTGATTTTCTATTTATTTTTTTAATTTTTTATTACTAAAAAGTATGAAAATTGTGGTTTAAATACAAAAGCTGATAGTTAGGGGTTTTGTTCTTCTTTACATTAGTTTATAATATTTAGTTTTTTATTTTTTTCTCTTCTCTAACATTATGAAATTTTATAATACAATAGTAGTAGTAATAGTTGTTTGTTTTTGGCCATTTTGGTTTTGTTCTTGGTTTTTTTTGTTTTTGTTTCCTCTCTGACACACACATACTTATTTCAATCTACAAAATAATTAAGCAGTTCCTCAAAATTTTGGTTTGTTGATTTGTGGAAGGGGAGCTTTTTGTCGTTTTACAATAAAGTAAGTTTTTCATTTTTTTTTTTTTTTTTTTTGGTTATGGGGTTTTGGTTTTTATTATTTATTTTAACTACTTCCTAATTGGAGTTTATTTGTTTATGGGGTTTATCTTTTTTAGGTTTATTTTTATTATTTTTTTTTTAATTTTTATTTTCATTTTATTTCCTTTTTATTTATTTTTTATTTTTTTCATGAAATAAATTTCAACAACATTTACATATCATCTAAATGCCTGATACATATCTCCTTCCCTGTTCGCTTTTGGGAGGGGAGTGGGATTTATTTTTTTTTATAATTTTTTTATGAAATATTGAGCAAATTTGTCTTTGTTTGTATGTTTGTTTTTTTTTTATTTACATGGCAGGGTTCTTTTTTTGTTTGTATGAATTTGATTTGTTTGCAAAAAAGGGTTCTTTAAAAATAAGCAAATAAATGGGAAATTATGCAGTTCGGAAAATAATTTGATTTAAAACATAATAATCCGCACCCTGGATATTGGAAAATATTTTTTAAAAAATCCACGTCTTGGGTAGATACGCCTTTGGTAGGCCCTGAAAAATAATTTTTAGAAAATCCACGTCTTGGGTGGATTCGCCTTTGGTAGGCCCTGAAAAATAATTTTTAGAAAATCCACGCCATTGGTAGGCCCTGAAAAATAATTTTTAGAAAATCCACGCCATTGGTAGGCCCTGAAAAATAATTTTTAGAAAATCCACGTCTTTGGTAGATCCGCCTTTGGTTGGCCCTGAAAAATAATTTTTAGAAAATCCACGCCTTTGGCAGATACGCCTTTGGTAGGCCCTGAAAAACAATTTTTAGAAAATCCACGCCTTTGATAGACCCTGAAAATGCCTATAATAAAAACAAAAACCACGATCCATCCAGATATTCAATAAAAAATAACCTTATAATAGCCCTCTTTTGGTAAAAAAATATTTAAAACTTTTCTATAAAATAGAGCTATTCTGGAATTTTTAGTTTAATAGAAGAAATACATTTCTCCCTTTTTTATTGAACTACATCTCTTCCCCTATCCAATAGTGAAAATTTCATTCTATTACCTCCATCCATTGCCGAGTTATAGTCATTTGAAGTTGATCATGTGAGAAAATATAGCTGCTATACGATTCTGTTTGCCTGGTACGGCAAATGGGAAAACTGAAGAAATTGCCAATCCACAAAAACAGAAAAATGCAGGAAGTGCTGCCAAATTGTTTTCTGCATTTTGTAATGCCTAAAAGTATACACAATATTTCGCAAATTAACATTCAAACACAAAGCAACCAACTTGGCAACACGTCTGGATTTTTCTGATTTTGTGGAATTGCAGTTTCTTCAGTTTTCCCATTTGCCGTACCAGGCAAACAGAATTGTGTAGCAGCTATATTTTGACACATGATCAACTTCAAATGGTTATAACTCAGCAATGGATGAAGGTATTAAAATATAACTTTCACTACTGGATAGGGGAAGAGATGTAGTTTTTATGTAGTTCAATAATTTAGGGGAGAAATATATGTCAGTTGGATGTTTTTTTTTAAATTTTACTAAAAATACCATGGGTGTACATTTTTTAACAAATATTTTATCGACGTTGCACAAGAGCAAGGATTATTTTAAGAATCTTATTTTTATATTTTAATGATACACACAAAAAATACAATATTTCACCAATTCAATAGTGAACGTTTCATTCAAATATATCCACTCATCACTGAGTTGTGGCCCTCTGAAGCAGGACAATCTGGCAACACCTCTGCCATTTTCTGTTTTTGTAGAATTGATATTTCTTCGGTTTTCCCTTTTGCCATACCAGGCACACAGAATCGTGTAGCAGCTATATTTTGACACATGGTCAATTTCAAATTGCCATAACTCGGCGATGGATGGAGATATTAAAATGAAACTTTCACTATTGGATAGGGGAAGAGATGAAGTTTTTATGGGTATCAATAAATTACGAGAAACAAATATTCGAAGAGGGCATTTTATTAATTTTACTTAAAATACCACAGGTGGACTTCTTAAAGGAAATTTTTATGTACCGATAGGTTGGAGACTTTTTTAAGAATATTTTTTAATAGAACAAGAATTAGTTAAAGAATATTTTTTTAACTGTCAATAGAGACTACATCTTTTAAAAAATATGTTTTCAAGTATCAAAAAATGTTTCTGAGTACTGATATTGGGAAAATGTTTAAAGAATATTTTTTTTTAAGTTCCTATAAAATAGCAATTATATTTTTTTTTTACTAAATATTTTCAAATACCAAAAGAGTGGGGATTATTTACAGAATGTTTTTTTTTCAATGCCAATACAGGGTTTGTTTTCATTAATTTGTTCAAGTGCCTGTAGAGCTTGGATATTAAAGGATTTTTTTAAAACCTAATATGAGGCGTGGATTTATAAAAAAATATTTCAAGACCTAATATTAGGCGTGTATTTTTGAAATAATATTTTTCAAGGCTTTAAAAATGGATCGATTTTTAAAATTCATAATATGAGGCGAGTATAAATAAGTGGTTCCCTTTTCTGCCCCACACACCTGATCTGTCTAAGAAGATTTAAAATATTTTTTTGTTAAATTTAGCATAGCAGCATAGAAAATAGATCAGAATATTTAAGTAAATATTTTTTGTGGACAAATATTCAAAATGTTATTTCACAATTTATTTAATTATTTCGTAAAGAACCCATAATTATGTTTCAAAAAACTTTTATAAATAAAATTATATATAAATAATATTTGTTTTCTTTATTATATATATTTTGTTTAACATATTTCTCTTTATAAACAATTTCAGATTTTTATTTTTTTTTCGTCATTTTCTAAATACTAACACATTAAAAATAATTTAATACAATTGTGTTTTTTTCTTTTTTAATTATTTTCACATTGGTTTTTGGTTGGTTGGTTGCTAATCATCAAATGGAAGGAATTGGTTTGTTGATGTATACAAAAAATAATTACTTAAAATTTTACATTATATATTTATTATAAAATTATTAAAAATAATAATAAAGTAAATAATTTTTATAATTTGTTTCTTTTTAACTTACAATAATATTTTACAAAATTTTTGTGTGTGTGGGTTTTTTTATAATTTATTTATTTTTTTATTTTTTTAACAAAAAAATCAGTCATTTTTGATTATTTTACTCATTTTTTTTCTTTGTTGCTTTTGTTATATATTTTTTATGCAAAGTTTTAATAAACAAAAAAACAATGGAGATTTTTTGTTTTCATGTTTTTAAAAAAATGTTTGGTTTTAAAGTAATTTGTTTATACATTCGTTAAATTTGGCCAGTTTAGTTTTCGTTTTATTTTTCAAATATACACATTTTTAATTGTTATTATTTTATAAACGGAATAAAATATAATATAAAATGTAAAATTAAAATTTAAATTTACAAAAATATATTAATTGAAAATATTTTTTAATAAATAAAAAATATTTTAATTAAAAAAAAAATAATAATATGTTATTTCAAGAATTTTTTATTTAAATAAATTGAATATTTTTATTGTTAAAAAGATAAACAAATTATTAAAAAATTATTTTTTTTTTAAAAAAATAAAAAAGGTTTTTGTTTCTGTTATATAAAAAATAAAAATTTATTTTTCGTTACAGAAAAATGTATTTATATCGAAATAAAAAAATATTTTTTAATTTTTTTAATTTTTTTTTAATTTTTATTAATTTTTTTTATTAAAAAAATATTTTTTTTTAATAAATAAAAATATTTTTTTTAATAAATAATTTTTTATTTAATTTTTAATAAAAAAATATTTTTTTTAATAAAAAAAATTATAAAAAATATAAAAAAACAATATTTAAAAAAAATAATAAAAAAAATTTTTTTTGTTAATAAAAAATATAATTTAATCCTACAGAGAGGAACTTAAATAATTTCCTTACTTTTCATAAATAAATTTAATGTTTTTTTTTTATTTTTAAAATATATATGTAAATAATTGGAGGGAGCGAATGGGAGAGTATAATGATAGTGTTTTAGAGAGAGAGCTATTTAGATTTTTTTTTTAATTTTTCATTTACATTATTAAATAATGTTTTTCATTGCATACATTTTTTTATTGGGAAACATTTCTTATTACATTTTTTTATAGTTAACTTAACAAAAATAATTTACTTTAGAGTTTTTTTGCTGCATACTTTAAGGGGTTTCCTTTTTGTTGTTGTTTTTTAATATCATACGATAGAGCTTAATAGTAGACACAGTATAGTAAGTATATAAATAGTTAGGTTTTGCATTTTTTTATTCTTAATTAAAAATTATGTTTTTTTATTATTATTTTACCATAGCATAGTTTTAGGCTTAGAAATTACAAAACTGAAAACAAAAAAAATTAAAAACAAAAAATTTAATAAATTATTCACAATTTAATTGCTATTTCTTGTTCTTATTATTCTACCTTTCCCCCATTTTAAATAAAAAATCTTAACCACAAGAGATTTAACGCATACCAAAATGAGCCCCATTGAGCTCTGGCCCCATTAGGATTACCAAATTTGGGAAAATGTATTTCCTCGGGTTGCCTTAGTTCTTCCTCTTCTTCGTCGATGACATTTGACAGAGGCCTATAGCGTAGGGTAAAATTAACTTTAATTACCGCCTCGGCCACACCACCGGGCGAGGAGACAATAAAATAGAAAGTGCGTGGAACTCGTTCGTGCATACTGACATAGGTTAGGCGGGCTTCTTTACAGAAGGGGGTGGGTAGATCCTGTAAGAAAGGGGAGAGAGAGGAGAAAATTGAGTTTGGAGATATATTTTTTAGTTTTTTGTTGATATTAAAACTTACCGTAAATCCATAGGCCAGCACAGTATTGCCATATTGATTTCCGGGTGTATAGACCCGTTCGCCATGCAGCCATCTTGCTGCATGCGCCGGAGGATTGGCACAAAATTCAACGGATAAATGCAATGGTGAACCGGGATATGCAACTGGTGTGGTATTGCGGGCCAAAACGGTGGGATGACCTAAAATTAGCAAACAAAATATTTTCGTGATTAAAATAAAGAAAAAAAAATATTACCAATAATTTTAAGGAATATTTGTTCAAGGCCAGTGGATTTTTTTTTGAGAGTCTATATACAGTCGTGGATTTTTGAAAATATTGTTTCAAGGTATACTATTAGGCGTAGATTATTAAAATATATTTTTATAGTTATTTTTGAAAATATTGTTTCAAGGTATACTATTAGGCGTAGATTATTAAAATATATTTTTATAGTATACCCTTAGGCGTTAATTTTTTAAAAAAGTAGTTTTTCAAGGTCTTTCTTTAGGCGTGGATTTTTAAACAAAGTAGTTTTTCAAGGTCTACCTTTAGGCCGGGATTTTTAAAAGTAGTTTTTCCAAGTCTACCTTTAGGCGTGGATTTTTAAAAGTAGTTTTTCAAGGTCTACCTTTTGGGCGTGGAATTATTAAAAGTAGTTTTTCCAGGTCTACCTCTGGGTTTGGATTTTTTAAAGTAGTTTTTCCAGGTCTACCTCTGGGTTTGGATTTTTAAAAGTAGTTTTTTTAAGGTATACCTTTAGGCGTGTTTTTTTAAAAGTAGTTTTTCAAGGTCTACCTTTAGGTGTGGATTTTTAAAAGTAGTTTTTCAAGGTCTACCTTTAGACGTGGATTTTTAAAAGTAGTTTTTTTAAGGTCTACCTTTAGGCGTGGATTTTTAAAAGTAGTTTTTCAAGGTCTACCTTTAGGCCGGGATTTTTAAAAGTAGTTTTTCAAGGTCTACCTTTAGGCGGGGATTTTTAAAAGTAGGTTTTCAAGGTCTACCTTTAGACGTGGATTTTTAAAAGTAGTTTTTTTAAGGTCTACCTTTAGGCGTGGATTTTTAAAAGTAGTTTTTCAAGGTCTACCTTTAGGCGTGGATTTTTAAAAGTAGTTTTTCAAGGTCTACCTTTAGGCGTGGATTTTTAAAAGTAGTTTTTCAAGGTCTACCTTTAGGCGTGGATTTTTAAAAGTAGTTTTTCAAGGTCTACCTTTTAGGCGTGGATTTTTAAAAGTAGTTTTACAAGGTCTACCTTTTAGGCGTGGATTTTTAAAAGTAGTTTTTCAAGGTCTACTTTTAGGCGCGGATTTTTAAAAGTAGTTTTTCAAGGTCTACCTTTAGGCGAGGATTTTTAAAAGTAGTTTTTTAAGGTCTAGCTTTAGGCATGGATTATTAAAAATATTTTGTCAAGGGCCTAAACAAGTCGTGTATTTTTAAAAAGAAATTTTTTACCCTTTTTCTTTGTTTCTTTTTATTATATTGTTTTTAAATGCCACTTAAACTTCAATTAAAATAATTTTTATAGATAGCATTTTTTAGCACATCCCCTCAATTCAAACTTCCTGCTTCCGAGCTCTAACAAAAAAAAAAAAAAAACACAAAACTCTCCTCCAAAATGAAACAATTTTAATTTTTCTAATATTTTCCTAGCATACAAAAGCCGACAAAAGTTTCAAATTCAAATATTTATTCATGAAAAAAGAGCTTCATTTCCATCATCCCAAAAAACTCCAAAACAGAAAAAATTGCCAACAAAATGAAGATCAACCAATACGAGAACAAATTCAACACATTATCCCTGATGACTAGTCATATTGCCCATCAGCACATCCTCCTCCCTCCATTCTAAACACCCAGCAAAGCAACGAACTTTGCAGACAATTTTTGCCAAGCAAAAATAGATTCCATCACCATCATCAGCAGCATCCATTCAAAATTTGCAATGAAGAGAGATGCAAAGGGAGTTTTTCGAACTTTTGTCATGATATGTTTTTAATGACTCCTATTTAATAGCTTTTCTATTCAAAAAGCTTGCACACATTCACACCCCCTTCTCCCCAATTGCTATCTGTGAAAATTGTTATTCGACTACCAACCAGCCAACCATATTTTTGGGGCCAACCAACCAAAAACGAGACACCCATACAAGCGTGTAACCATAGTCAAACGGAAATGAGTTCTGAAAAAGTTGAAAAGTACCGGATGTAAGCAGTAAAACAAGTTGTCACACAACTTGTTTGTAGTTGTAGACTTCGACTTATGCACACACACACACACACATATATGCACTTTATTATACGTATACAAAAGAGCAGACATTATGCATGTATAATAATTGTCCCTTTTTGCTGTAGTGGTGGTAGTAGTAGTAGTTCCGCCATAGTAGTGAAGTATACGACTGTGTGCTGCCATTATTGGAGATAACATTTAACTCTAATTTTGCCAAATGTCTACTCTATTCACATGACAGCCGGGGACAAATTATTTGAAATGTTCGCATTGATGCTATTTAATGTGTTGCGATTATTTCAAGGATTCTTAAAGATTTAAATGGTGTGGATTTTTTGGAATTATTTTCTCATTTATTGAAAATACATCTTCATTTTTTTTAAATTAAATATATCTCTAAAAAGCGGGAATTGTTTAAAAATGTTTGTCAATATCTACAAATAGGAGTGGTTAGGCATAGTTTTATAAAACAATAATTTTCATGGCATATGGTTTGGTGTGTATTTAAAAAATTGTTTTTAGTGGCTTGATTTTAGGCGTTGATGCATTAAAAATGTTCTTCAAAGCCTACACACAGGCGTGGATTTTTAAACAACTGCAAATAGTAGCGGATTTGAAAAAATCAAAGACCACTAATATTTCTCAATGCAAACTTTTCAAAATACTATTTTTTAAATCCATGACTTGAAAAAATATAAGAATAAACGCGGCTAATTGTAAGCCTTAAAAAAATATTTTTAGAAAAATCGTCGCCAATAAGTAGGCATTAGGATATATATGCCTTTGGAAAATCCACGTCTTCAACTTGGCAATACAACATATTTCTAAATATTTGAAAACTAATTTTTTTTTAATTTATAAAAAATAAACGCCCACATGTACGCAATGAAAAACCAGTAAGGAAAGTAGTAAAGTCGGACTGGGCCGACTATATGTTACCCTTCACCACTTTCGGTATATTGTACATATGTACCCTTACAATTGCATGACAATGTTCACTCAAAGGAACCTACTCATGCCTTTCTGCAACCTATGCTAAATTAAATTATATTCAGGCAGATTTAGTGTCGTCTGCATAGCAAAATTAATACACCATATTCGATAAGTCGCATTTTTTAAAACTTAATCTCAATCAGACACCCGTTCGAAATACATATGGAAGCTATAGCAACATCTGCACAAATTTGAACAAAGGGTAATAACGTCATTCAAGTCTCAATTTGAGACGTTGTGCAAAATTTCGTGTTAATCAGACAATAATTGGGAGTTTGGTGCACCATTTATGTAAAATCGGACGAAAATATATATGGGAGCTATATCTAAATCTGAACCGATTTTCACGAAACTTAACACACATCATTCTACACTTATTTCAGTACACTATGCCAAATTTCGTGAGAATGGAAGGATATATAGGAACTTGGCACACATTATGCTAGACCCAATTCAGTACGCTGTGCCAAATCTCATGCATATCGAAAGACCTTTACGAACTTTGGTGCCCAATTTACCATAAATCGGTCGAAAATATATATGGGAGCTTTATCTGAATCTTAACCGATTTTCACGACTTTTAACACACACCATTCTAGACTTCATCCAGTACGCTGTGCCAAGTTTCGTGCAAATCGAAGTATATTTAGGTACTTTGGTACACCATGTACATTATATCGGACGAAAATATATATGGAAGCTATATCTAAATCTGAACCGATTTTCACGAAACTTAACACTCATAATTGTAGACCTAGTTCATTATACTGTGCCAATTTTCGTGCAAATCGAAAGATATACAGGGACTTTGGTACACCATTTGCATTAAATCGGTCGAAAATATATATAGGAGCTATATCTAAATCTGAACAGATTTTGAGGAAACTTAACACACATAATATTAGACTATATTCAGTACGCTATGCCAAATTTCGTGCAAATCGAAACATATATAGGGACTTTGGTACACCATTTACATTAAATCGGACGAATATATATATGGGAGCTATATCTAAATCTGAACCGATTTTCACGAAACTTAACACACATCATTCTAGACTTAATTCATTACGCTGTGCCTAATTTCGTGCAAATCGAAAGATATATAGGGACTTTGGTGCACCATTTACATTAAATCGGGCGAAACTATATATGGGAGCTATATCTAAATCTGAACCGATTTTCAGGAAATTTAACACACATCATTCCCAAATTTTGTGCAAATCGAAAGACATATAGGGACTTTGGTGCACCATACACATAAAATCGACGAAAATATATACGGGAGCTTTATCTAAATCGGAACCGATTTTCGCGAAACTTAACACACATCATTCTAAACCTAAATTATAGGGCTGTACCAATTTCGTGCAAATCGAAATTTATGTAGGGACTTTGTTGCACAATTTACAATAAATCGGACGAAAAAATATATGGGAGGTATATATAAATCTGAACCGATCGACTTAGAAATCTACTTAGTTAGTGATTCTATTCATATTATCAAAAGGAACCATGTGTCTATTTTGTTTCCTTTTGCCTGTTACAAATATATGCACACAGACATAATACACCGTACCACAGTGTGGTGAAGGGAATAAAAACGTCCGCCCGTCCAATATAATTTGTAAACACGATACAGGCCACCGTTATGGACCAATCTTCACGAAATTTTGCATGTGGGATATGTTCTGGTTCTGGCGAATGAAGACCCCTATTGTTTTGTGGAAAGATCAGTTAATATTTAAATGAAATTCTGGCTGTTGCTAACACTATTAAAAATAAGAAATCTTTCGGAATAGACAAACTTTCTAATTTCACAATTCTTAAGCTTCCAACAAAGGCCTTTGAATTTCTCACCATTATCTTTAATAACTGCATTTCAAACGGCTATTTCCCAGAATCTTGGAAAGTCTCTAAAATTGTTCCCATAAAGAAAAAACCCAATAATGATGACATATCTAATTTGAGGCCTATATCCTTGTTATCTAACATTGGTAAACTTTTTGAAATGATTGTACGTATTAAAATGGATGTAGGAGTCACTTTACCGTATATACCTAATTCACAGTTCGGGTTTCAGAAAGGACATTCCACAGTTGATGCAATGACTAAATTCACAAATGATATCGTTCTGAACCTTCGTGAAAAGAAGTGTACCGTTGCAGTTTCCCTAGATGTTGAGAAGGCCTTTGATCATGCCTCCCACTATGGAATATTGACCAAAATGATAAGAATTGGATTCAGCCCTGAGGTTGTTAAATTATTTAAGAGCTTCGTAACAAACAGAAAATTTTGCGTTCTATATAAAAATCAAGTGTCCGAATTGTCACATATAAGCTCTGGCGTCCCGCAGGGATCTGTGCTAGCACCGCATTTGTACAACATCTTAATGTACGATTTCCCTCATACCCAAGAAAACGCTTCGGGTATTCTGTACGCTGACGACTCACTTTTGTACTCACACCACGAGTCACCAGTTTGTGCTACTGACAATATCTCACAATACCTGCATAATGTTAAGCAATTTTATGATGAATGGGGAATCAAAATTAACACTTCCAAGAGCGAAGCAATTTGCATTAGAAATGCATCTGGAAAATGTAAACGTTCTGTAGTTCCCGAGAGTAAGAATTTAAAACTGGCATTAAATGGCATTGAAATTCCCTTTAGAGACAAAATTACGTACTTGGGAGTAGAGTTTAACAAACTATTTAAATTTAATTCACATGCTAGAAAAGCATTAAATAAGGCCCGAGGAATTTTTATTTTATTTTTGAGAATTCTGAACAATAAAGCTTTGATTGCAAGTACAAAATTAATGTTGTACAAGACATGTATAAGGCCTGTTATTTTGTATGCCTTTCCTGTCTGGTTTAACATATCACCAGTTGTTGTGAAAGAGCTAGAGGTTTTTGAGAGAAAAATTTTGAGACTTTGCATCGGAAAAAATTTTATATGTGTCAATAAGAGATATTCGAATAATTTTATTTATGAAAATTCAAAATTGCAACGTATGTCTACCTATATCTGTACGATCTTGGATAAGTTCAATGCAAGATTAGAGTTTCATGAAAATGTGCATATGAATGAAGCATGTAATAGTCAAGTGAACATTGGTTGGTATAACACAAATTATCCATCACCTATAGGGTATAAGTACGAGTCCGAAGCGGGTATTACCCAGTTTTACGAAAAGGCACTGACCGGTACGCATCGTGGGTAGTTATTGATTTACCTACTTTTACTTTTTTTGTCTGTTCATTGTTTTGTTTTTGTTTTGTATCATTAGTTTTAAGTTCATAAACCCTGGATAAATTATCCCTTCTTATTGTATTAGTCTCGGGAGCAAGGATGTACGTAACTTTAACTGATGTATACCCACATTTTATGTCTCATTTCATGTAAAAGCTAGGTGCTGTAATGTCTGTCACTGCATTACGATAATACATTATAGTCATAAGTCCTTCATATTATGTATCTTATTTATATATTAACATTGTTTAAAAAAAGACTCAATAAATATAAACTTAACTTAAACTTAACTTAGGTTGAGAAAAGGACTAAAAATTTTTTTGGTCTGATTTTCTGGTTACTACACAGGTCGCAGTTATGGTCCGAACATCGTGAAATTTTACATACAGAACGGGATCGGGCTAAGGAATAAGCATGCCTGTTTTGATAAGGATCGGACAATATTTGACGGGTCAAGTGGACCCTGACTTTTGTGTGAAAAATTACAAAATTTGTATTCTATAGTGTATAGATTTACCCCTGAAGGACATAGACCCGAGAACTTGATAGTATATCCAAGAGAAGTGGTTGGCATTTAAACTGATACCAATTATATGGTTGTATGTACTCGGATGTGGGAGTTACACTTAAATATTTATTGGTGCTTACGTATTCAGATATGATTTGGTAACCCATTACCACACTGGAGGGCGGAAAAATAGCGCTGAGCGCTTTGAACTGTCCCATGAGGTTCCAGTTATGGTCAAGGACAATGCCCATTGTTTTCGCTGATGATCAGATAATAATATTGGGATCAAGTGGACCGAAAACATAATTTTTGTGTTTCTTCGAGTCGCTCTATGTGCCACAATTGTAAGGCGAACATCACAAGGGAATCTGGACAAGTAATAAGAAGTACTGTACTAAATATTAGTAATATTTGCTGACCTCTAGTCGGTCACGAGGGTGCAAATATCGCGATATATTCTCCAGGCTCAGATAATAGAACCGCAGAAAGTTAGACTTTCGTGGTAGTTGTGTAGGTTATCATATGGTCGGCCCCGTCCGTTTATACTGATCCGCTCACTGGTTTTTTAATTTATTATTTTTAAAAAGTTTTAATCTTGTAAATATTCCCCCTTCCCATGTAATATATTAACTACAAACTTTAATTTGGTTTCTGTTCCTCCTCCAGTTTTCTTCTTCGAAATTAAAATTCCTCCCACTTGAGCTTGATATAAATTTCGAATCCAACAAATATATATAAAAAACAACAATGACAATTGAGGGACGAACCAAATGCAAATTCGTTATTTCGCAACTGCCCGTTCTGCGAGTGGCGTTTTGTTTAACAACTATTTTCGTTCTTAACAACAAATTGAATTTTCTTTACAAAACAAATTGCCACTTTGTGTTTTGGTATTAACTGAATTCCAAGGAATAGCTAACATTTAATGGGGGAGCGCGGACAAACCAACAGCCAACCAACCAATCACTTACTATCCAGCCTTTCTCTCTCTTGGCTCTGCCAAACATTATCAAATTGATGCAGCCATATGCAATGGCAAATACAACAACAACTGCAACAATAATAAAATCATAGTGTTTAAAAAAATAAAACGAAGAATAAAAATAAAACAAAACAATAATAATGTTTTTAGTAGTAACAACAGTATTCTAAAGCAATTACACCAATTCCCTCGATACAGTGTTGCAACAAACATGATTGTCGAACAAAAAACCCACACACACACTCACAACTTTCCATACGAAGCAATAGAAATGCAGAAAAAGCAAAAACAAGAGCAAAATAAATGCATGAAATTGTTGAGAGCGAGAGGATTCAAACAGAATATGACCATTAGTGCAAGAGCAGCAGCAGAACAATTGGTGTTTTCTCTTTGCATCCTGGCAACAACAAAAACAACAACAGCAACACAAGTGGCGTTTTGTCTAACAACAACAGTAACATCTCCAACTCCTTATGCATTGAAATAAATGTTTTCGACTTAAATAGTTTCAACTCCCTCTGCCCATACGGGCCAACAAAAGGAATCGAAGCCAGGAAAATGCTCCCTGCTTCGTTGTGCACCATTGTTCCTTGCAATGCTTTCCATTTATTTACTTGTAAACTTGTTTCTCGCTGTTGTTGTCTTTGTTTTTTGTTCGTTAACAATAAAAAATTATTCAATTTCCTACTATTATTGCATTGTGTCACTTTATATTCTAAGTTAACAATTGTAAATTGTGGGGGAGAGAGAGGTAGGAGGAGGACGGTTGTGATGCATTCAGCATCGTGAAGTAGGGGGAAGGTAGAAAACATTTTAATATTGTTAAATTATTGAGAATATTCTCTCTTCGGAGAATTGTTTGTGCAACAAAATGTAGCCAATAGTTACGGTAAGTGCTGCTTTACAGGTGGAACATAATGTGATTAACAAAATTTAAAGCATACTTATAGGAGTTGTAATATAATTTTGAATTTATAAAGGTATTTAGGTGTTTAGATAGAAAAATATAAACCAAAGGAAACAGAGTGGAAGAGGGATATATCTCTAAAATAGGCTTCGAAAAAAATTTTCAAATAATCCACGACCATATGTAGGCTTCGAAAAAATATTTTTAAAAATTCACGCCTATATGTAGGCTTCGAAAAAGTATTTTTAAAAATCCCTGTCTGTATTGACCTTTGAAAAAATATTTTTAAAAATCCACGCCTATTTAAGGAATGAAGCTCGAAAAAATATTTTTAAAAATCCACGCCTATATGTAGGCTTCGAAAAAATATTTTTAAAAATCCACGCCTATATGTAGGCTTCGAAAAAATATTTTTAAAAATCCACGCCTATATGTAGGCTTCGAAAAAATATTTTTAAAAATCCACGCCTATATGTAGGCTTCGAAAAAATATTTTTAAAAATCCACGCCTATATGTAGGCTTCGAAAAATATCTTTAAAAATCCACGCCTATATGTAGGCTTCCAAAAAATATTTTTAAAAATCCACACCTATATGTAGTCTTCGAAAAAATATTTTTAAAAATCCACGCCTATATGTAGGCTTCGAAAAAACCCTTTTTCAAAATCCACGCCTATATGTAGGCTTCGAAAAATATCTTTAAAAATCCACGCCTATATGTAGGCTTCCAAAAAATATTTTTAAAAATCCACGCCTATATATAGGGTTCGAACAAAAATTTTTAAAAATCCACGCCTATATATAGGGTTCGAAAAAATATTTTTAAAAATCCACGCCTATATGTAGGCTTCGAAAAACCCCTTTTTAAAAATCCACGCCTATATGTAGGCTTCGAAAAAACCCTTTTTAAAAATCCACGCCTATATGTAGGCTTCGAAAAAACCCTTTTTAAAATCCACGCCTATATGTAGGCTTCGAAAAATATCTTTAAAAATCCACGGCTATATGTAGGCTTCAAAAAATATCTTTAAAAATCTACGCCTATATGTAGGCTTCGGAAAAATATTTTTAAAAATCCACGCCTATATGTAGGCTTCGAAAAATATCTTTAAAAATCTTTGAATTAGGTTCTGAAAAAAATATTTTTAAAACATCCGCGCCTTAAGGAGATTAGAAAAAAAAATAAAAAATTAGACTAGAGAAAAATATTTTTAAAAAATATACAGCTATAACTGGACCTTTAACCATTTTTGAAGTCCACCCCTATAACCAGACCTTAAAAAATAAATTTAAAAATATAAAAGCCTTCTTATGTTCGGATATTTAAAAAAATTAAATGATGCCTAAAACTATGCAACGAAAATGTTTTCGTCTACCATATCTCTACTAAATTTCAATATTAAAAAATTAATTAAAATAACATAATACCATTAAAAATTAATCATACTTATTTTTTTATAAATCAGAATCTCTCCCTCTTACAACAAAGTTATAAGTTATATTTTATTGAGTCTTTTTTTTATCAATAAGATTAGAATTAAAAACAATATAAAGTAATCCTTAAGACTATAATGTATTATCCTAATGTCAAGAAAAGTTATACAGCATCATGCTTCATGTAATAAAAAGACAATAAAATGTAGACATCTTGTGTGTTAATGGACGCCCTTGCTCCCGGGACTTTTACATAAAAGAGAAAATCTTAAATCTAGGGTTTAAAACTTAAAACTAAAACTTAAATCTAGAAATTAAAAAAAAAACATATGAAAAGAATAAAAAAAAATAACAATACAATAAAATAAAAAAAAAAAAATAATAATAATAATAAAAAGGTACGCAATAGCTACCCACGATGAGTCCCGGCGAGCGCCTTTTCATAAAAGCAGGTAATGCCTGCCTGATCCTCATTTGAAAACCCCAAAGGAGAGAGATACTGTGTGTTTGACAACCCAAAGTTTCTCTGACTATTAATTGCCTCTATCATATGAGCATTTTCATGAAATTCC